GCCATTCTATAAGAATAGAGGATTAAACTGTACATCTAAAATTCTAGAGAGACTATTACACCACATTCATTTCAAAACCAGATACAATTAAATACCACATATATGAATACTGGATTTAAAAACTGAGGAATTTGTTTGCTGTGGTTAAATTGGGGAAAATGCTTTACTGAAGGTGTATTTAAAACATGATTTACAGAACACTCAAGATTTCACCAAGTAGTTGGATACAGTGCTGAAAAAACTGTCTTAGCAAGATAACTAAATCCTAATAACTACTCTTCAAAAGCTCACTTGCAATATCATTTAGCAGACCATCATCACTATCATCTTTATACATAATTACTGAAAAGGTAAATTCCCATTAGAAAGACCACTGTTTTACATGAAAAGAATAAGTTATCCTAGTTTTTGTTCTGAAAATTTTTTTCCCCCAGCTGCACTGCCATTTTTAGAGGTAGATAATCAGCAAGTAAATTTCAGTAGCAGCTTCAGTAATGGATTTTAATTTCATTTTCTGCCTAAGAGACTCAGTAAGTTCAAAGAAATGAACACAGAATTTGAAAAGTACTTAACAGAGATGATAGGGAACATATGACAGTACCTAGATGGATACTACTAATCTTTTCACAATCTTAACCTCCTCTCTGTCCCTTTTCAAACGCAGGTGCGAATGCCTCCCAGTGTTTAGGAAGATTTTATTTAATTTTCAAACAGTTTAAGGAATTAGAACTATGATTTTCCTGTGGCTGATCTACCAGCAACCAGCGGCACAATTCAAAACACCATACCTGCCTTTCTGTCTAAACTGATGACCCTTTTTTTCACTCAGAAAACTTCTTAGTAAGGGAAGCAACAAGTATATCCTTTACTTTAACCAGGGCTAAGATAACTTCCCTCAAATACATTTTTCTTCATACACAGTTATGCTTCAGATTTTGTTTACAATTATCCCACATTATACTAGGAATAAATTATTCTCTCAATCATTAAAACTTATCTCATTACAGAGAAAAAGAAACAACATGGATTACCAGCAGTAAAAAGCCTGAAGATTTTTCTGTAAATCCTACTTCTAACCAACTTCAAAATCCTATCCTTAGCCAAAAATGGGTTCAAAGAAATTTGTTAATATAATAAGTGAAAGAAAGATGGTTGGTCAGCAGTATTGGACACAAATGTCTTCTGTTCTCCTAGTTCTGGTTTAAATATGCTTTATGAGTGTGATTTCTATACAGTGCCCTCCTATGGTGGTCCAGCCTTTTCCTAATGAGAACTTCTGACTAGGTACAGCAGTGACGCACACAGTGCTGTTTTTCAGAGAAGGCAGAAGACCAATTAACACAAATGGGTTGGTTCTATGCATATAAGTAGGAAGGTTTGTGTGTTGTTCTGTAGAAGTGATTATTTAAAAACAAGTTTGGTACTCATTAAACAATTGTTAAGCTTTCATTTTTAAACTACTTTAAAATGCTAAATTTGTGAAAGATTAAATTTAACTGAACCATACAACACTATTTTCTTAATTTAAACTTTCTAAAGTATCACTTATGTTTTATTTTATCTAGAAAGTACTGCTTCCTTTATTAAGTGTTTTAAGTAACTCATACCACATACGATAAAGACCTACTTTTACACTTTGGAAACAGATTACATTCTGTTCTTTATCATTAGGACAACAGAGACCAGTTTGATGGCTGGCAAATTAAGATTACTTGTGTTTCACAACAAGAGGAGAAAAAAATAGGTGTGCTGGGACTGCTGGAGTGAAATAGCTAGGAGAGGTCAAGACGTCAGGCTTATGACATGTAAAGGTTTAACAGCAATCTAAGTTCTTCAAGTAAGTCTTATGAAAGGTTACTCAATTAAAATGATAGACTTATGATTTCAAATCTCTAACAAATATATTTACCTTTCAAACATAAGACATTTTACTGGGATCTCCAGTACTGAAACAGACAAAAAATGTCCACTGCTCCTTAAATATTGCATTAATAAAATTGAAAAACCCCTTAATTTAAAAAACCAGAATACTGGCGAGCTGCCACAGTAACTACAAAAGCAATAAAACAGCTAAATGGGAATCTCTATTTTGAAATTGCTCTCTCTGGAAAACTCTTAAATTTTAAAAAATTATTTATCTACAAATTGGAACACAGCTTTATGATATAAAGGAGCATTCCTTTTTGGCAACACTAAGGAAGATACCCGTCTGAATTCCATCCTCCTCCCACACATCATTCTTACAGAAAGAATAGTTTTTTTTGAGAAGAGTTGGGGGCAAAAAAGAGAAGTGAACGGAAATTGTAACTTTTCCTACACTTCCTCAAATAATTGTGAGATGTGTTTTTCCCCCAGTCTCCATCCTTTCCTTCCCAGCTATAAGAAAAATACACCATTACCCATTATAGCAACTTACTTCTATGCAGCACATTACATACTCAGTATTCAATTCCGAAAGGAGTTTGCAGTGACAGCACTGGCAAAAGCTAAAACGAGCTCCAAAACCAGCTGTCTTAAGAAATCTGCTGGCTTTCCCAACAACACAAATTTGAACTTTGGCATTTGTTTTTCACAGATCTGGATTCTGCGAATATTAAGAATTCTTCTATTACACAAGCAATGACTGAAATTATTGTGTTCAAAGAGAATTCCTGTTCCTTGGTAAAAAAACATTCCATATCCGTTTTTAATGGGTTTATTTAGAGTGCAGTGAAAATATGGCTTCACAACACTCCTCCATTGTGTATTAAATTTCTTTATGGCATGTAAGGGCAGGCCGACTGAAGATTACCTTTTTAAATAATCCAGAGTGCCATATCCAAAAGTAAGCAAACAGAAGAAATATGTATGAATTGAAATGCATCCATCTGGGATGGAGCTATCTGGGTCATCTAGGATCTAATAGTTTTCTTCCCTGTATACTATGTTCGGTACGGTCCTTGCCCAAAGCTAAGCCCCGACTGACTAAATGTAACCTTCCTGCGATGGCAATGACAGCTGACTCCCAGCTATACACAGTTAATCCAAACAATGTAAAAAAGCAGTGTAGGTCTTCTTCCTGAAATGTGAATGCCAGCAGAATACACTGGTTTGGAATGCTATACCAGGTCTATAAAATTTCCTTCCCACAAAGTCTGAGGATGCTGTTCCATGGTCATACATTTCTAAAAGCCTCAAAACCTTCAGACAAAGCACATACAGCGCAAATACAACTAGCTGCTAAATACAGCATGTTGCAAATGCATTGATTCCACTTCAGAACTCAAACCCAAACACTTTAAAAGACACAAAATAATGCTTATTACAGACACCTTTTTAGCGGAACACGTAACATAGTATAACAGCTGCGGTCAGGAACTTCCAAACCTCGTGAAAAAAAATGATCTCACTGTAGTGATGATCAATGAACTCATCACTGTATTTTGAAATCCTGCTGCTTTTTTGAGCTGTATCAAAGATAACACGTGCTTCCAGAAAATAAAACAGCCTCCAGCACCAGTTTTCTGAAACTAAGTCCTTCTGACAAGACTTTTAATCACAATTAAACCATTAGATTCAACCAACTGCTAAGGTAGTAACTAAGGTAACTTGTTACCTTTTCTCTGCTAAATGCTTATTAAGGCCTAAAAGAGTGAATACAAATACCAACTTTTTTTGTTCTACCTTATCAATGTTTCTTTGTCCAACAGATCTCTTAAATGGAAGATATAGCTGCATGACTGCTTTCAGTCTCTTGACAGCTATGTAGTAAGAGGTCATACTGCTGTTAACATTTTGCTATTTTGACATGAATTCTTGTATCATTCCCATTTACTTGGGCATGGTTCACAGTGTGATTTAGGTGTGTACAAACTACATTTGTTTTCTGAGGAAACTAAACTAGAACTTCTGCTTCATGTGTACACCATAATATGGTGTTAGTCTAAATCAATGACTTTGCCCCTCAGACATTTTCACTAGCGCTCTGTGGAGGACATATAACCTAGAGAACCAGAAAAAAAATAGTCTGAAGTTAACTGCTCAAATTCACACTCTACAGATGCAGAAGCACCTACAACAACAGCTTTTGCTCCTACTGCATTAAATTATTTGTCACAGTAAACAAGACCTAAGACTGTACTCTAGTAGTATTAAACATCAAGGACACTGCAGGTATTTCTCCTGTGACTGCATAAACCTGTTATCTGTCTTTTCAATTATATGAGTGAGTGTTCCTCTGAAATTGCTTCAGAAATGGGATTTCTATTGACTCTCATATTAAAGCAGATGTAGTAGCCTTTAGTAAGCTTTAGTAGCTTACATAAAAATAAGCAAAGCCCACCACTGTTCATGAAGCAGTTCTGCAAACTCACCCTGTGTTTTCTTATCCTTGTAGCACACTTTAGTTATTCAGCATGTCTGTAGCTGTAGAAATTCCACAATTAGAATTTAGTTAACAATTCTCTTGATAAATGGGGCTGATTAAAATCTAGTTCACTCTCCTTTAATTGTGCTGGCTTTACTCAAATAAAAATAGTAACATTTTATTACTTTTACTGAAGAAAAATCTTCCCAAGACTGCATCAACTTATAAGACTGTATATTAACACAGAGACTTACCTAACTCTTTCACAACATGAATAACAACATAATTAAATGCAGATAAACTCTGAAGGTTCATTACATTAAAAGAGGCACAACTGTAAAACTTTTGCAATATCAGCTTTCTTGCCAAAAACACTTTAGGAAGTATTCTCTTGTGCACTACTGAGACTTCTACCAGACTTGCTGAAAAGTATTTACAGTAATAACTATGATTCTTCAAGGCCAGGATTTTGCTTACTATCTTTGTTGGTGAAGAACTGATCAACCATCTTTCCACAGGAATCACTGCAATGTCATCAGACATTACAACTCCAGAACAACGGACAAGATGGGAGTAACTCCTCCCATGAGCAGAGCAGCACACTGCCTTCACACAGTACATGCACCCTCGGGAGGAAAGTGAAGAGACAACAGACCTTCAGTGTTACCTATTTGTCTCTCTAGATCTGCTGCTTCATCTGGTGTTGCACGTGGGAGGACACCAGGATCACTGAAACTAGTGCGCAGCAGGGTCCCCATCACGAAAAAGAAAAGAATCCCACCAATTGCAGGTATAGCAGGTGTAATCTTCTCTGACAAATATGGGCAGCTGGAAAAAGAAAAAAGATTAAACATAATCAATAACACAGTCCAACTTGCTCTCTGATTACCATTATAAATACATGTGAAGAATTCACTTTCTTCTACTGATACATGACTTGTCTCAAAATGTTTACTGAAGCTGAAATTTATATTTAGGTATTTACGACACTTCTGAAATTTCTTATAATCTGTTTAATATAATAAAGGTCCAAATAGCATAATAATGATCTCAATGAATACAATATTCATAAGAAAATATTTATGACAGCATATTATAGCTCATGTATTTGTTAATCTACTGCCCAATTACATAAAGTAAACTGGGGTGAGGGGAAAAGCAAAATAACCTGAAGATATTCAGCAGTAAAAAGCAATGCAATTAAGTCTATGAAATGAATTTATCATCCATCACAAAGATGGTGCTCAGGAACTTGCAGCTGTGACACATTCCTTTAATAGCCCTGATATACACCAATATTGTAACACCACTGCTAATCCTTTCTTAATCAGATTTTGTTAACTTGGTATGCTTGTTAACTAATTTACAAAGATGACTGCAAAAGACAATGCAGCACATCTGGAAACAAACAATTCGGGGGGGAGTGTCTAGGGCAACATCAACAGCCCTTTTCCAGCACAAAAGGCTCTGTGGTTATCAGACTTTCAATATACATGCAGGGCTTAAGACTGGATCACAGTTTTAGCAAATCTTCCATGTAATAAAATCAAAATGGACACAAGCACTGGAATCTAAACAACACAAAAAAATATGTCTCTTTATAGCTGTGCAAAAAGAAGGGATATGGACACTTGGACGTTACACAGTATATATCACTCTTGTCAATCTGAGTCACACAATAAGTGCTGCAGGATCATCTTAGAAAATACACAGGCTGAAGACTATGTTCATAGCTCTTATATTAAGTAGAAGTGGCCAAAACACAGAGATGGTTTCATCCTTTTCTGATATGTGTCAAAAGTCCTAAAATAAGACTAAACCCAACATAAGCTGAAAACCAACAAGTTCTAGGCCTTAGGGCTTCATCTGAAGCTTCCAGGTATCAATCAAGTTTAATTAACATCGTCTTCCTGTTTCTGCTGACTGCCTTCAATGATGATTCAGAAGTGCAAGCTTTTGCACTGCAAGTCAGTTAACCTCACTGGAATGTTCACTCTGAGCAAGTGATGACAACGTCAGTTTCATCATCCATCACTTCTGCTGACAGGATGGGGAGAGAATGGAAACACTTTTCATACCAGCTACCATGTACCAAGCTTTTATCTCGCTGCATAATTCTGTTAAATGTACTTGGCTGTTTCATTGAACACCGCGGGTTTCACAGATGCAGTGAGTCCAAGCATGCTACTCAGAGCATCATACCATCGCTGAGTGGAATTCTTCTTTCACCCTACATGAATGTTGATATTACAGGTGTAACAAGTTATGAAAGATTAAAAAGACAACTGGGCATAAAAAATTCAACAGTGAAGGGCAAGAGAATCTGTAGTTTCATATAATGAATAAACTCTTTAAATACTAGGAAATGTACTTCAAATGCACACTTTCAGAAAATATGTTTCAAAGCCCCAGATTTATGAAATCAGTTCTAACTAAAGGAAGCAGCAGCAAGACAGCTGGTAGACATAAGCCTTGCTCCCGTCACGTCAGAAAAGTCAGTGAGAATGAGCAACCAAAAAGAAGCTTTCATACCACATACATGTCCTACTGCTCAATTTATTTCTTGCCACAAAGGATTACTGAAATCAAAACTACTATGATATGCTCAGAGAGGAGTACAAATAGGCTGCAAGAACATATTTTTAAAAGGATTAGAGGGAACATGTACGTTAATGAACACTAAATATAGCACAGTTCTGCTATTCTTCTATTACATTATTCATTACACATACCGAAGAAATTGCAACTGTGATGAAGTCTGTTGACCAAATGAGCTGTATGTGTGCAAAAGGTACCATGAGATACTCTCAGAGCAGCACAGTAGGTGCAACACAGTTTAGACAGGTGCCAACACAAAAACTGCAATGGCATCTGCCTACACAAATTCTCAGTGATACTTAGAGAACAGAAACTGTAGGGCCATCATATCAGTGACACACTTTAACTGTAATTTTACAGGAAACTGGTACAAAGAACAAATTCCTGTGCTGAAAAAACTGAGAAAGCCTTGCACTGCTGTAAAGTGATGACTTCACTATAGTAAAAAAGCATGAAAATGCCTTTGCCTTGCTGAACCAAGTCCATCTGTATAAAAAAAACAACACCCAAACACTCTCAAAGCCTGTACACTGTTCACCAAAGGCAAGTGTAAGGTAATCTGCTTCACCTAAAGCTGTTTTCAGCATTTAACAACCTGTATTTTAACAACTTTGACTTGCAGTAATGTAGAAAACACTGAAGATGTTATGTTTTGCAGTAATAACCAACTAATGTTCCACCAATTAAGAAATTATTTCAAGCTGAGAAACCAGTTCTTAAAGAGATTCAGATTGTAAGCCTAGGCAGGACTATCCAATCCAGTCTGATTTATGTATGAACAGACCATATAATACTGCATCAGAGTTCAATGATCTCCATCCTTTAGGAAGGCCCAATCATTTTTTCAAAATTTTATCAATTAAATTAATAATCACAAAACCCCCAGACACTGCACAGGACTTTTCATTTTTCATTCATGTCTGTGGGGAAAAAAAAAAAAAAAAGGGGGGGGGGGGGGGGAAAAAACATCTTAGTATCTCCTGAGTTCCTAAAAAGTCCAATTAAAATGGCTTCTAATTAAAAATGTGGATTTTAGCCCCAAATTGTCAACACATCTGTAGAAATACCACTGCATATTTATATAATGTATATTTTCACACTTACACAACAAATGCGTTTATACTGCTACATTAAGTCAATGTTAATATCATTTTAAACAGCTTTAGAGTTGCTCCTTTTAGAATTGTCAAATACTGTACACAAAAAAATATTATTCCCAATATCTGCTCAAATTCTTTAATTAATTTGCTTCAATTCAGCTTGCATCCCTTCAGGCATCAGCTTTGCTCAGATGTTACAAGAAATATGTTTTCTGGATGGCACTTTCAGTGTCTTTTTAAAGTAAATATTAGCAGGTATTTCCCGACAGCAAATTTCAGAACTTTCACATAGAGGGATCCCCATGAAGAGGACAGCCCATCCACAGCAGAGAGCTCCAGAACAATCTCTGTCCTACTGCAGAGCAAGTAGTGACAAATACCTTTAAATTAGCAGTTGGTAACTACTAAATGTGAATTGATATCCTCAGTTTACATCTTAACACACAGTAAAGCAAATTATTTTAATCAGTATCTGTAATGATAGCAAGTACTGACTAGGTCCATCCCAGAAAACAGTTGTTAGAAGTATTAATTGACTATAGATCCCACTAGAAGTTGTTATTGCGGAAACAGCTTCTTCAGAGAACAATGTTTGGATTTGCACACAGCAATAAGTAAGACAACCTGAAGTTTTGAATTAATATAGGGGTTTTATACAAATCAGGCCTGCTTTTTGCTTGGCTTCTCAGCTGTTTTTGAAGCATCATGTGAAAGTCTGCATGAGCGTAGGAGGGAAATAAGTTCCAGTCTGTCACAGCTAGATAAAAATAACAACACACTGGCATTTAAGAGATAATTATCAAGTATCATCCCTAGGAATGAAGGATGCAGAAGAACAACAAAAGTAATTCTCACCACCCAGCAGCCCTCTGAACTGTGTAACCTGCTCCATGTGGCTAGTGAGATCAATAGAAAAATACACACAGTAACTGTACTGAAGAGGACACAGAGCACACACAGTCAGAATCCTACAACTTTCAACCCCTTCATTAGAAAAGAGGAGGGGAAAAAAGAAGCCTCCTTAAGGCCTCTCCTGGAAAGATGAAGGCTTTCTCAAATAGTTCACTGACAGTTGTTGTTATTCATTGATGGGAGATACAATAAATGACCAACCTATCCAGTGGGGATAATGGAGATTTGGAGAGAGTCTAACCTGCAGAGAGGCTAACCTGGTAGTTACCAAAAAACATTAGTAACAAACACAAGAGTATAAAAAAAAGACAGGGTTTTATACTTGTGAGAAATTTGAGATCTCACTTAACATTTGCTAAGATGACAGGCAAAAAGCAATAAAAGTACAGATTTATGCAAAGATGTAGCAGCTATCACACTTAATTACACTAATTAAAACAAACACAAACCAACAAAATAACCTCCCCCCCTAACTAGCTTGGCTGTCAAGCATACTATATGTTGAGCTTTTCATCAGCATGAAAATCTTTGCAGCAGGTATTTTAAGAATGTACTCTACAAGTACATTTTTTGTATATTGTTCTCTATGTAAGTATAGCTGAACCAAGTAACAAGGGAAAAAAATACTGTTCATTTCCCTACATCATCAATTTAATTTATGTTTCTGCAAGTATTGCCTATTTGATATACCAGTACCTGCTGGTGCACAGCTGATGTCCAATGCTGAGAGAGAGCGCATGCACTCCAAACCCTGGATGCGGTTCTACATGTTACAAGTTAACACCCGAACAAGACTGTGCAACTTCCTTAAACTAAATGAATGGGTTTGTTGTTTGTCCTTCCACTCTTATCTACAGCTCCTCTCAGCTTCCCCTTCCTCTCAACTCCACTACGTCACTGCTTCAAGTCATTTGGTCCCAAACTTCTTCCCTTACACCAACAAAGATGTTCATCAGGTTCTTCTGTGAGCCAAATTAGTCTACTAAAATGTATGAAGATGACACCAGTTTCTTGACTTCTCTTTCTGCCTTTTCAACAAATCAAATATGCACTTGGAAAGGAGCAGTGATATTAGCACAAAGCAAGAGAGACAGAGACAGAGACAAAACCAGAGGGAGAGGGAAAATGGAACGGAGGGAGGAGACCTCCACTCGAGCAGCTGTCAGTAGGGCTTTCATTCAGACCACTGCCTCTTGTGAAACCACACTCTAACCTTGA